AGAGACTGACTTGCTCTGGTGAAACATATTGGTATTAGCCCTCTCTTGGTCCATTTGCAACCGCAAAACTGATAGTTCCCTTTCCGCCTTTTCGAGATTTTTGCTCACTTTTCGGTGCTCTATGGAAATTTCCAATAAGTGGTTAAGTAAGAAACATGAAATTTCGGCTAACCAGCACGAACTTCTGTAGAACTGTTCTCGTAGAATTTGAAAAATGACGAAAGATTATCGAGCGTTTCCTGATTCAGGATGAACGATTCCCTTTCTGGTTTTGGAGGTTTCACAACAGCTCCACCAACCTAAATTTTTAACACAATAAGATAATCAATATTTCAGTATTAATGCTATAAAATTATTTGCAGTTTGCCACATATATTTCGAAAAAAAAGGTTGTTTACCTCACTAACGATTTTATCTAAAACCTCAATCCTTTTCCTAAGAATTCCCTCCCTATCCTGAAGCAGATAAACCTCCTGCTCTTTCTCGTCAACTTTCCTTCGCAATTCAATGGCCTGAAATTTGCTCGGTCAATATAGCTTGAATAGACTAGTAAAGGAGTATACCTTTGGTGAGTCTGTCTCTTCATGAATGGCTGGTTTTTCACGAAGCTGAACGTCATGAATGATGCCATCTCCTCTTCCATCTACACGAAGCGAATCGTATATAATACGTTGCGTAACGTTCTGTGAATATACAATTTGAAAGAGATGAATGGCGGATAGAGGCAAATCAACAGGATTCTTGACTAAAAAAAGTTTCTACTTGCAGGAAAACTGGCGTCCAGGCTACATTCTGCTAGTTTATGGTGAACTTCTTTTTTTGTAACTTCTAAAATGGTGTTGAGATGGTCTCTTTAGCAGATTTTTTTTCAAGAGCCACTTTAAGTAAATGATAAATAAATAATTATATAATTATGTGTAATGGTTGGATACCAACCTAGTATTACCGGCAATCAGCTTTTCAGCCCTACGCCTTAATGATTTTCAAAAATATATAACATTGTAAATTTCGAGTGAAAGCCCACCATATACGTAAATGAACAAGCAAAGTGCAATGAAATTGTCTCAAATTTCTGATGCCCCGCAGATATTTGGTTGCAAAATCGTTTTTTCTTGACTTGTTGCAACAAAAGAATTTTTTATAAATTTAGAACTTGCCTCAACATGGACTTCGTTTAAGCCGGGCTTTAAGTCACATTGCACGACACGTTTCAGTTCAGCTCTGTCATTGAACACAACCACTCGTTCTAGTTTCTGCTCTCGACATTCTTTCCTAAGCACAGTCGGTGTGTTCTCATCTGACATCCTGCAGAAACAAGAGTTTTACAAATGCAATTACTATAACTCGGTAGACATCATCAAGTCAGTCATATAACAACAACCAGGTACGAGAAAATCAGATGGGATGAAGAGAGACGAAGCTAACTAAAACGAGGAAAGACTGTTGCTAATATTAGAATGCACTATAAGGAGAAAGCGATAAAAATTGATTTTTTCGTGGCAGCCGCCCATCAATTGGAATATGTAAATAATAGCTACTTTATCCATAGCAACGCTTTCATTGGACGCTTCTGATGATTGAGA